ACCAACACCACAACCACCACCAACAACAACAATCATTTTAAGACTCGCTCTCATCTGCTCGAGTGCTACTCAACGTGTATTTCCCAAACCCTCGATACACGCCCTCGTCGTCTTCGATCGTGCCCCTCTTGGGAGGGATACCTTTCTCCCCTGCAGGCCGGGCCCCGGCAAGAGGCGGGGCGGCCGCGGACCGTCGGACTGGCCAGCGGCAGCGTTGATCCGCGGCAACCCGACCCCAAGAGGGACGAACAAGGGACCGACGACGACGACTACGACGACGAACGAAAGCGAGAGCGAGAGCGAGAGCGACAGCGGGGCCACGAAGGGCAGGAAAGGGGCCACGAAGGGCGACAGCGGGGCCACGAAGGGCACGCGTATGGGGCGCGAACGAGCGGGGGCCACGACGGGCAGATAACGCAGAGCCACTGAGGGCAACGACGGGGCCACTGAGGGTAGCAACGGTGCCACGTGGGACAGCGAAGGGGCCACGCAGGGCGCGAACGAACGGGGGCCACGAAGGGCATACGTAGATTGGGCCGCAGAGGGCAATGACGGGGCCACTGAAGGCAGCAACGGGGCCACGAAGGGCGACATCGGGGCAACGAAGCGCATGCATATGGGGCCACGGCGGGCGCGAACGAGCGGGGGCCGCGAAGGGCATACATATATGGAGCCACAAGGGGCAGCGAAGGGGCCACGAAGGGCTGCAACGGGGCCACGAAGGGCAGCGAGGGGGACAAGAAGGGCAGCAACGGGGCCACGAAGGCCAGCGAGGGGGCCACGAAGGGCTGCAACGGGGCCACGAAAGGCAGTGAGGGGGCAACGAAGGGCTGCATTGGGGCACGAAGGGTAGCGAGGGGGCCATGAAGCGAGGGGGCCAAGAAGGGCTGCAACAGGTCCACGAAGGGCAGCGAGGGGGCCACGAAGGGCTGCAACGGGCCCACGAAGGGCAGCGAGGGGGCCACCAAGGGCTGCAACGGGCCCACGAAGGGCAGCGAGGGGGCAACGAAGGGCTGCAATGGGGCCACGAAGGGCAGCGAAAGGGCCACGAAGGGCTGCAACGGGTCCACGAAGGGCAACGAGGGGACTGCGAAGGGCTGCAACTGGACCACGAAGGGCAGCGAGATCCCTAGTCTTAAGTGAGCTGTGAGGGAGTCCTAAGCGTGAGCGCGACTCCTGGGTGCCTGAGTGTCGGGAGCGCGGCGCGTGAGCAAATTGCGGGGAATTCCAACGCAAGAGCGCGATTCTTGAATAAATTGCAAGCAAGTCTCCAGCGAGAGCGCGACTCCAGAGCGCCGAGAGAGCGATTCCGCAATACATTATAAGGAAGTCCGAAGCGAGAGCGCGGCTCCTGAGTAAAATGCGAGGACGTCTCAGGCGGAAAACGGGAGTGATCAACAAAAAGTATTCTTCCACAATGAGAACTCAACAACAACAACAACAACAACAACAACAACAACAACAACAACAATCATTTTACCCGAACGCTCAGTGTTCTCCCCAGTGCCAGGGTTTTCATGCGACGCCAGCCAATACCCCCACTTCGTGGGGGGGCAATGCAAGCTCTACCAAACATCCACACGACTCTCGGGAACCACCCACACCCAGCTTCCCGCCCTATGACGTCAGGACACTTCACTTCGTGGCGCGCGGACGATCGTGGATACTACACTGGCGTGGAGTACACACCCGCAGAGGTTAATCACTTGTTTGGGCCCCGCATGTGCCCCGCATCGTGCATTTGTTGCGCATGATATGAGAGCAAGACAGAGAGAGAGAGAGAGCAAGACAGAGAGACAGAGAGAGAGAGAGAGAGAGCAAGACAGAGAGCCAGAGGAGAGCTACGGTGCGATTCGTGTGATTTTATGATGCGCGGTGCTAAAATTCTTAAAAACCCAATGATTTTTGGAGATTTCGGCGTGCGCGCGCGAAGAAAAAACGAATGTGTCCCGCATGGTATTATTTGACAGGGATGATGGCCCTGGCAGGTGCGCAAACGTTGTCGCAGAAGTTCGAAAAAGTTGCTCGCAAAAGCCCGTTTGACAGAATTGTTTAAAAAGTGTTGGTTTTCCTACGAATCCGCAAGAGCGCGCGGAAGAACATTTTGACAATTTTTTCTTAAAAAACCATTGGGTTTTTGATGTTTTTATGTTAAAATCGCTACGAAACCTAAGGTTTTGGAAGGATTTCGTCTTGCGCGCACGAATGTCCACTTTACCTTATTTTTTGCAAGGGATTCTTGCAATTTGATCAAGTAAGAACAAGAATTTTCATTTTATAGTGTTTTTTGCAAGGGAAAACGGAGTACAACAAAACAACCGGATCCGGTAATAATTCACTTTTCTGAAGCTTTCGCTAAAAAATGATGAAAATGTAGCTGCGGCCTAGGTTTTGGAGGGGGGTCGCGCACCAGGGGTCCCAACAATAATTATTCTTTAGAAGTAATAATGTTCAACAACAACAACAACAACAACAACGACAACGACAACGACAGCAACACCAGCACCAGCAGCAGCAGCAGCCACAACCACAACCACAGCCACAACCACAACCACAACCACAACCAGCACAACAACAACACCAACGGCAACGATAACGACAACGGCAACAACAAACAACAACAGCAACAACAACAACACAAACACCAACACCAACACCAACACCAACACCAACACCAACACCAACAACACCACCAACAACACCAACCACAACCACGACCACAACCACAACCACAACCACAGCCATCACCGCAACCACAACCATAACCACAATCATGTTAAGACTGTGCCTTCCAACACGTGTATGCCAAACCCTCGGTACCCGACCTCTTCGTCTTCGATCGTACCCCCTTGGGGTTATATCTTCCTTACCTGTCAAATGTAATTGGCGCAGCCCTGAAACAGGGGAAGAGAGGACGGACGGAAGCGAGAGGGAGAAGGATGGAGCACGGTATTAGCAGGAGGGGGGCCAGGAGCAGAAAACACGTGGCAGAACAAGACGGGCCCATCGGGCGGGTAGACCCTAACGGGCGGGTCGGGAAGGCGGGCCCAAGCGGCCAGGTCGAGGAGGCGTGTTGCTGAAGCGTGAGTACTGCATAAATCGCAAGGGGAGGTCTATCCACAGCGCGATTCCCAAATACATTGTGAGGAAGGCCAGAGCGAGAGCGTGATTCCTGGGTGTCGAGGGCGCGACGTCTGATTGAATTGAGAGAACATCCCACGCGAGAGTGCGATTCCTACATAAATTGTGAGGACGTCCCTGGCGAGAGCGCGACTTTGACATACATTTTGAGGAAGAATCATCAGGGGGAACCGTTGTTGTTGTTCGGGGCCCAACAACGTAGTTTGGTGACGCCTCGCTTTCCCTTGTAAAAAACCGGGTGCGAGCCCAGACGGGAGCACTTTAACCGAACAAAATACAATGGTTACCGGAGGGGGGTCAACAATAATTGTTCTTACGAAATGAGAATCCGACGACAAAAACAACAACAACTGCAGCAGCAGCAACAGCAACAACAACAATATCAAGGACAAGAACAATAACACGCATAGCAACAAGAACACCACCACCACCACCAAGAACAGCAACACCATCAACAACAATAGTCGTTTTAGGACAGTTCGCTCTTACTGACACAAGTGTCTTGCATTCCGTATACCCCAACCCTCGATACCCGCCCACTTCGTCTTCGATTGCACCCTCTTTCGGGGGAATCTCTTCCTTGTCGGCCACTGACTGAAGTGCGAGGAAGTCTCGAGCGAGAACGCGCCGTTCCTGAGTTCGGGGGCCTCTCTGGCCAGCGGCTCTGGGAATACCGATGGATAAATATCGAAAGGGAACCCTTGTCGCCGTATCCGGGCCTCCACCAACTTGCCTGAATTACGAGAACGTCTCGAGCGAGAGCGCCGTTCCTGAGTTCGGGGGCCTTCTTGGCCAGGGGCTCTCGGAGTAAATCGTGAGGAAGTATCGAGCAGGAGCCCTTGTTGTCGTGGCTGGGCCTCCGCCAACTTGATTGAATTGCGAGGAGGTCTCGAGCGAGAGCGCTGTGCCTGAGTTCGGGGGCCTCTCTGGCCAGGGTGTCTCGGGGTAAAATGTGAGGAAGTATCGAGCGGGAGCCGTTGTCGTCGCAGCTGGGCCTCCAAGGGACCACATTCAGGCTCAAGCCAACGCTCGAGCGGGAGCCCCGTTTTCAGAGAAAATGTGGCCGGCGTCGAGGCGAGAGCGCGCGGAACCGTTTCCGGAGATCAACAATTGTTCTTTAGATCGTTAGAAATGAATGCTCAACCACAAACAACAGCAACAGCAGCAGCAGCAACAACAACGGCTCCCGCCTGATAGAAATGTATTGAAGCGCCGCGCCCTCGAAACTCAGAAACCACTCTCGCGCTCTGGGCTTCCTAACGATACTTGGGAATCGCACTATCGCTCGAGACTTCCCTGCGATTCATGCGAACTGACGCTCCAGCGACCCGCCCGCTCGACCCGGCCACCTGGGCCCGCCCGCCCGACCCGCCCGTCAAGGTCCGCTAGCCCAACCCGCCCGTCTGGTTCTGCCGCTTGTTTTCCTGCTCCTACCCCCCTCCGGCTAATCTCTCTCGTCCTTCATCCTTCTCCCTCCCCCTTGTCCCTTCCCTCCTCCATCCCTTCCCCTGTGACCTGTTTTAGGGGCTGCAACTACACGTGGCAGGTGCAGAAGATACACCCCCAGGGGGGGTACGATCGAAGACGAAGAGGGTGGGTATCGAGGGCTTGGGATCTAACTACACACATGTTTACTGACACGAGAGCGAAGAAGGGCGAACAATCCTAGAATAATTGTTGTCGTCGTCCCCCCCGCGACTCACCCGAGACCCACACGCGACCCACCCTGCGACCCACCCCGCGACCCACCCACAACTCACCCTCGAACCACTGGCAGCCCGCCCAGCGCCCGCCCCCATCACTCTTCTCCTCAATTGCGGCGTGCTGCGTAAGTTATGCTGTTGCTTCGTCTCCGAGGC